GCTCAAGACATGACGCACAGAGGGAGACTACAACTGTGTTCACTACAGAGATTGGTGAACGCCCACTTACAGTCTGGATCCCGTTCGAAATACCAGACAGGCTAAAACCATACCTACTATGGTGGACTCAGAAGTCGAATGTTTGCGACGGAAACTACTTAATAGAGCCGGAGTGCAGCGTCCACCTCTACACAGACGCATCACTGCACGGTTGGGGAGCACACCTCGACAACGAAGTGGTTGCCGGGAAATGGTCGAAACAAGAAATGAATCTGCATATCAACATGCTTGAGATGAAAGCAGTAGTAAATGCCCTACTACATTGGTCCAAAGTACTAAGGAATGCAAAATTGATGATCCATACGGACAACTCAACAGTGGCGTTCTACATAAACAAACAAGGATCAACAAGATCTTGCAATCTTCTAGACCTCAGCTTTCAACTATTCAACATTATAGACAATCTCAACATTTATGTGAAAGCATGTCACATTCCGGGAACCAGGAATGTAATAGCAGATGCGCTATCTCGACCACATCAACCATCCCCAACAGAATGGATGTTACATCCACAAGCCGCTCAGATGCATCATACAGACGATAGGATCTCCACTCGTAGACCTATTCGCCACGAGATTCAACAATCAACTGGCAACGCTTCGTCTCTCCAATTCCCGATCCGCAAGCATGGGCGACAGATGCTCTAAGCATCCCATCGGAATGGCTAAACGCGTACGCGTTCCCTCCGCCAGCGTTAATACCACAGGTATTACAGAAAATCAGGCAGACAAACTACAACTGATTTTGGTCGCTCCTTACTGGCCAGCAATAACGTGGCTTCCCGTTCTTTTACAAGAAATCGGAAAACCAACAATACAACTTCTAGTTTGGTCGAACCTACTAATTCATCCTCACACCAAGCAAGTTCACAAGTATCCCAGATTGTTCCACCTACACGTATGGAACGTATCACGGATTGCTTGTCGAAAAGAAGATACTCCGCCAGAGCAGCAAAAGCAGTTGCACTAGCTTTACGCAGATCTACTCTGGCAAGTGGCAAAGCTTTGAGAAATATGCATTGAGGAAAGGTTTCACTGCAGTGAAAGCAACACATCCTCAAGTGGCGGAATATCTTTGTCATCTCAGACAAATGAGGAAATTAAAAGGTTCGACATTATCTACATACCTAGCGGCTCTCAGCTCAGTTATCACTATGAAGACAGGTGTGAAACTGACGAAGGTGCCAGAGTTACTGGCCTTGCTACGCTCTTTTTAACTGGAAGACCAACAAATGAAATTTAAAGCCCCGGCTTGGGATCTCAACGTGGTATTACGACATCTCACCAGTGATGTGTACGAACCACTAGAAAGAACTTCTTGCGAATTTCTTGCACAGAAAACGCTATTTCTGATCGCCTTGGCAACAGCGGCACATATGTCAGAAATACATGCGCTGGACTTTGAACAGATACGTTTTGACACACGTCACAACACGGTTCATCTAGGATTGAGGTGGGATTTCATAGCTAAGAATCAACTGCCAGGTCAACCGGACAGACAATTCCACATCCCAGCATTATCTACAATCCTTGGTTCACAGGATATACAAGATTTATCCCTATGTCCAGTCAGAGCACTGAAAATATATCTACAGAAGTCTAAAACCAGGAGACGAAAATTCAAACGCCTTTTCATCCCCATATCGTCGGAGACACCCACAGAGATCTCACGTACTACGATATCAGTTTGGTTGGATGAGAGCAATCAAACTACGAGCCTACAAGGCAGCAGGACTTGAGCCTCCTCGAGCCTCCAATCCGCACGGAGTTAGAGCACTGGCATCTACACTCGCTCTACATGGAAACTGCTCAATATCCACTATCATGGAAGGGTGTTTTTGGAAATCGGAGACAGTATTTGTTAACCACTTCCTCAGAGACTTCGCTACCGAGGACGTCTCCGGTATCCACCAGTTTGGACCTCTGGTTGTAGCTCAACAGCTGACGGTCCCTCAAAGGCGCTGAGATGTATCTCGCCCTTTTACCGCATGTCATGCAAAGCTTGTACTCCAAGGAATAGAGCTTATAGTCCATGTACACGTCTAGAACAGACTAGCATGAATATTGGACCCTGTACTAGTAAGGAATTACTTGTACATGGATAGGGTCACTACTCCACTTGATACGACCATCAAGAGTTGGAGTTATTTAAATCCACATGTACGGTTACAGAAGAGTTTGATATGTTGTGGTCCCCCCGAATTACCAAATTATTTCGACATATGGATCAACAGCAGCAGTGCCATTTAAAGTTCCCATGGGGGTATATAGGACGTAAATTCATCACTAAGGAATCCAGAGGTGGCTTGACCCACCACCTATACTGTCGGATTCTACAAGCAATAAGCATGAGTCAGGATAAGGAAAAATATGTAATTTTCTGACTAAAATTGATATTTTATACTTATCCTGACTCATGAGGTAAGCCCTCCCAACCTCCCCTCAAGGCACTCTGGATTTCCCAGTAAACCAGTGTGTCAGGTTATAATACGGAAAGAGTGAAGAGCATGGCAGACGGGTGGCGCCGTTCCCGCCAAAACCTGGCAAGGAAGGGGACTCCTGGTAAGTGATTTTACGTCCGCTTTTTTGAAGGGAGCTTGAAAACGGGATTCAAGTGTTCCACTAGCATTCGGAAGGAAAGGGAGAAAAAGGCAATAAGCATGAGTCAGGATAAGTATAAAATATCAATTTTAGTCAGAAAATTACATATTTATTGTAGCAACAAACTGGCTTGCTTATTTTACCCCATTCAACAATCATTCATGATTACCGCCTCGTTTTCCTTACACTGCTAGTTTACAGTAACATCGGTAAAAATGTGTGAATTTAAATGGCTTCCGTATTTTACCCCATTCCATGTGCGTACAACTTCTGCTTACCACGTTCATGAGGGTCCGTATAACCTTAGTTATATAGTTTACATAAAAGCTGTAATTAAAGTTACACAATGCTAGGTTATATTTCTGTGGGTTAAATAATAGTACTCTGTATTATATTTTACTGACGACTGCGTCAGAATTCGTCCCGTTATATTATTGTGCATATTTGAACTTGTTCGCTGCTGATTGCTATTTCCGGCTCAAATACACACGGTAATCTTAATCTTAATTAATTTATAGAGCAAAAACTGTAATTAAAATTACTCAATGCTAGGATATATTTCTTTGGGTTAAATAATAGTATTCTGTATTATATTTTACTGATGACTGCATCAGAATTCGTCCCGTTATATTATTGTACATGTTTGAACTTGATCGCTGGGAAACGTGCACAGCTGATTGCTATTTCCGGCTGAGATACACACGGTAATCTTAATCCCTGCAAATAATACAATGCCCAGCAAAAACAACTTAGAACTTAAAAGGTAAATAATCTAGTGATGTTTAACTGCAAATTTGACGTCTCTACTGACAAAGTCGTCTTCTGTTGTTTGTTCATGCGAAGTGATACGATGTAGTTTTCTTACCCCTGGAAAAAAGTTTGACGAAAGCGTAACCCATGGATAAGACAACCCCCTTCTACAGACTCCTTTTTTTGGTCCTCAAATTTCTGCTTATAGACGGTCATATACGGTATACAAGATTGCTGTTGTCTGAAACTCATGGGACCAAATTTCCTTCTCGAGTCATCGTGTGTATTTATGAGACGAATTCGTGTAACCGGAAATCAAATGATGACACGTATGACAGGTACTTCAAGTTATGCAGAATATTCGAGACTAATGCATTCCACTCATCGGGATTTGACTGCATTCATTTCCCCACCAAGTCAATTCCCCACCCAGACAGTACCCCACCCAAATATATATCTGGCCGGTCATTTCCCCCACCAAGTCAATTCCCCACCCAAATATATATCTGGCCGGTCATTTCCCCACTAAGTCAATTCCCCACCCAGACAGTACCCCACCCAAATATATATCTGGCCAGTCAATTCCCCACCCAGACAGTACCCCATCCAAATATATATCTGGTCGATCATTTCCCCACCAAGTCAATTCCCCATCCAGACAGTGCCCCACCCAAATATATAACTGGCCAGTCAATTCCCCACCAAGACAATTTCCCACCCAGACAGTACCCCACCCAAATATATATCTGGCCCAAATATTTCCTCACCAAGTCAATTCCCCACCTGGACAGTACCCAACCCAAATATATATCTGGTCGGTCATTTGCCCACCTTCCTGTTTGTTGTTGTTTCTAGATAGCAGGCTTTTGTGTAATAGCAGGCTTAAACGATCATAGTATATATAATACATGTGTAATGAAAACATCTCATTGACGTAAACGCAGTGTTACAACGCATTTTTATTTTATTTCCATATTGTTTACAGTCAGATGTTGAATGAGTGTTATCATTCATTTCATATTCTAAATCCCTTCACCCGAACATCTCAAAGTCTCAGTTGAATGTAGGAAGTTCATTCAGATGTAATTTCTCAACTTATGATCAGTAATCGTTAGAAAAACACTGCTTTCCACCCCCACCCCTAAAAGTGTTGGGCATTGCCCCACTAATCAGCTGCTAATATCCATCCATCCAAACACAGTCCCTTCTGGGTCCCGATCCACAAAGCGCTCAGTAGCGCTTACGACGTACATTCGTAGTTTCCTATGATAAACTATAGCGCTACGACAGGTCGTAACGTTACGACCGCTTTGTGGATCGGGCCCCTGATGCACTTATTAACTCATCAATTTTGGGAGGTGTTTTCAAAGAATGTAGGGAAAAAAAGTCATGGGAAAAAAGTTCATGGTACAGGGGGACCTGTTCTAATCGGGACTCCACACATAGATAACGTAGGGTAAAGGGACCTGTTGTAACCAAGAATCTGTGTATGGGCTTTTCATGATTATTCACCAGTCTGATCCTTCTGTGTGGCTTGATTTCAGTTTTTCTTTGTATTTCCAGAGTAACATAGTTTTTATTTCGTTTCAGAACCCACTTCGATGATGTTGCAGACAGCAATGGGGCATCCAGCAACGAGGACAATACACTGCAGCACACCGAGCAGGTTGACAAGTCACAGACCAGAATGTCAGAGTGAGTTGTTTGACTCAAGGGCACAAATTATGCAAAAGAAAATCCGAAACGTGAGCTCGCTAAGACTGAAATTTACAGAGTTTATTGGAGGGTCACTTTCACTCACTGGCCTGCCATTATCCATCCATCATTTTGAACTTGAAACTGTCTTGCATCACATTGCTGGCTATCGATACAGATCATAATCGTTCAATAAATAATCACTGATTATCGATAAATATCACTATTGACTAGTGATGTTGTCTGGTCCATATATGTTTGGACTGCTAACAAAACACTGTCCTGAACATACTTTGACTAGTGAAGCAGCCCTAAGAAAAATACATTACTATGTGTACAGTGTGAGTAAATTCAGAAGAATTTTGAGGTGAAATGGTGACATCTGAGAGCCTTTCCAAGCCCAATATTCATCCTTAATTGCTCCAAAATAAGTTCAGTTTTTAGGGTGAAAATACTTAATGAAAAAGAATCTTTACCTGAAATTTGTGAGACTTTATGAGGTATCAAAATTTAAATACTACAGGATAAATCAAAAGTATGACAAGCAAATTAAGTTCAACTGTTCATTTTGAAGCAAACAGTGTGTTTGATGCACTGATGGATCTGCACACAAGGCAAAACATTTTGTTACCGTTCGCATCATAGCCAATTAGATTGGAATTTATGTTTGGTTTCTATTCCTCAGTACAACCATCTCCAGTTTCCTTTTCCTCAGTACAACCATCTCCAGTTTCCTTTTCCTCAGTACAACCATCTCCAGTTTCCTTTTCCTCAGTACAACCATCTCCAGTTTCCTTTTCGGTACTTTAAGGATCGTAATTTAGTGAACTGTTTTGAAATGAAAGCTCTGCTTGCTTGTTTGGTGGCATTGTCCAGACAGAAGTGAAACATTCAGGTGCATTCATGTGGCTTCAGAATGAGAAACGATATATTTCCGAATGAAAAATGATGTCTCTCTGATTGTTAAACTCGATAATCATCCAGTTTTGAACGGTTAAACGAAACTGGTTTAGTTTACTTCCGTGTTACGTTTATTGGAAACATTTGTTTTGTACTAGCACTAACCTTAAGAATTTACCCAAGGAATAAGCAGAGGTGCACAGTGTTTTTATATGTGCACCATTTAGCATTAAAATGCACCTGACAGGCGCAGTTATTGATCTGGCTTGCGCCATTTCAAATTTCAATGTGCAAATGTCGCAATGGTGTGGTATAAAGGAATCCTTGCAAATGAATCTGTTTGACTAAGAATTTCAGAACCATAAACTGAAGTGATCATTAAAATGCATTAGGTGTCCAGTATGCAGTTTTGACTAAACCAGGCGAATCGTAAACAGACTCTACAGTTTTTTCCATCAATGCCATTGTCATGTGACTTGTCTTTAATACAGAGCTGAAGGACTAAGGGGATCGGGTGGTCAGGCTCACTCACTTGGTTGACACATGTCATCGTATCCCAATTGCATAGATCAATGCTCAAATGACATTGATCACTGGATTGTCTGGTGGGGATTAAATAATTTTCAGACCGCTGCCATATAGCTGGAATATTGCTGAGTTCGGTGTTAAACCACAAACAAACTCAATGACTATCTGATGTCCAATTCTGGTTTATATTGCTGGAATGTTACAAAACTAACATACACAATCTATTTTTCACTGAATTCCTTATGGGGCGGTGGGGTAGTCTGGTGGTTGAAGCATTTGCTCTTCACGCCAAAGACTGGGGTTCGATTCCCCACACGGGTACAATTTGTGAAGCCCATTTTTGGTGTCCCCACTGTGATATTGCTGGAATATTGCTAAAAGCGTGTAAAACCAAACTCACTCACTCACTGAATATCTTATGACTTTGGCCTTTAAAATACCATTGTAGAAAATGTCATACATTTCCAGTACAGACAAGGGGCATCCTAAAGCTGCGTGTTTAATTATAGACGGTCATATACGGTATACAAGATTGCTGTTGTCTGAAACTCATGGGACCAAATTTCCTTCTCGAGTCATCGTGTGTATTTATGAGACGAATTCGTGTAACCGGAAATCAAATGATGACACGTATGACAGGTACTTCAAGTTATGCAGAATATTCGAGACTAATGCATTCCACTCATCGGGATTTGACTGCATTCATTTCCCCACCAAGTCAATTCCCCACCCAGACAGTACCCCACCCAAATATATATCTGGCCGGTCATTTCCCCCACCAAGTCAATTCCCCACCCAAATATATATCTGGCCGGTCATTTCCCCACTAAGTCAATTCCCCACCCAGACAGTACCCCACCCAAATATATATCTGGCCAGTCAATTCCCCACCCAGACAGTACCCCATCCAAATATATATCTGGTCGATCATTTCCCCACCAAGTCAATTCCCCATCCAGACAGTGCCCCACCCAAATATATAACTGGCCAGTCAATTCCCCACCAAGACAATTTCCCACCCAGACAGTACCCCACCCAAATATATATCTGGCCGGTCATTTCCTCACCAAGTCAATTCCCCACCCGGACAGTACCCAACCCAAATATATATCTGGTCGGTCATTTGCCCACCTTCCTGTTTGTTGTTGTTTCTAGATAGCAGGCTTTAACGATCATAGTATATATAATACATGTGTAATGAAAACATCTCATTGACGTAAACGCAGTGTTACAACGCATTTTTATTTTATTTCCATATTGTTTACAGTCAGATGTTGAATGAGTGTTATCATTCATTTCATATTCTAAATCCCTTCACCCGAACATCTCAAAGTCTCAGTTGAATGTAGGAAGTTCATTCAGATGTAATTTCTCAACTTATGATCAGTAATCGTTAGAAAAACACTGCTTTCCACCCCCAACCCCCCCTAAAAAGTGTTGGGCATTGCCCCCACTAATCAGCTGCTAATATCCATCCATCCAAACACAGTCCCCTTCTGGGTCCCGATCCACAAAGCGTTCGTAGCGCTACGACATTCGTAAGCCTATGATAAACTATAGCGTTACGACAGGTCGTAACGTTACGACCGCTTTGTGGATCGGGCCCCTGATGCACTTATTAACTCATCAATTTTGGGAGGTGTTTTCAAAGAATGTAGGGAAAAAAAGTCATGGGAAAAAAGTTCATGGTACAGGGGGACCTGTTCTAATCGGGACTCCACACATAGATAACGTAGGGTAAAGGGACCTGTTGTAACCAAGAATCTGTGTATGGGCTTTTCATGATTATTCACCAGTCTGATCCTTCTGTGTGGCTTGATTTCAGTTTTTCTTTGTATTTCCAGAGTAACATAGTTTTTATTTCGTTTCAGAACCCACTTCGATGATGTTGCAGACAGCAATGGGGCATCCAGCAACGAGGACAATACACTGCAGCACACCGAGCAGGTTGACAAGTCACAGACCAGAATGTCAGAGTGAGTTGTTTGACTCAAGGGCACAAATTATGCAAAAGAAAATCCGAAACGTGAGCTCGCTAAGACTGAAATTTACAGAGTTTATTGGAGGGTCACTTTCACTCACTGGCCTGCCATTATCCATCCATCATTTTGAACTTGAAACTGTCTTGCATCACATTGCTGGCTATCGATACAGATCATAATCGTTCAATAAATAATCACTGATTATCGATAAATATCACTATTGACTAGTGATGTATATATGTTTGGACTGCTAACAAAACACTGTCCTGAACATACTTTAGAAGCAGCCCAAGAAAAAATACATTACTATGTGTACAGTGTGAGTAAATTCAGAAGAATTTTGAGGTGAAATGGTGACATCTGAGAGCCTTTCCAAGCCCAATATTCATCCTTAATTGCTCCAAAATAAGTTCAGTTTTTAGGGTGAAAATACTTAATGAAAAAGAATCTTTACCTGAAATTTGTGAGACTTTATGAGGTATCAAAATTTAAATACTACAGGATAAATCAAAAGTATGACAAGCAAATTAAGTTCAACTGTTCATTTTGAAGCAAACAGTGTGTTTGATGCACTGATGGATCTGCACACAAGGCAAAACATTTTGTTACCGTCAAGATCATAGCCAATTAGATTGGAATTTATGTTTGGTTTCTATTCCTCAGTACAACCATCTCCAGTTTCCTTTTCCTCAGTACAACCATCTCCAGTTTCCTTTTCCTCAGTACAACCATCTCCAGTTTCCTTTTCCTCAGTACAACCATCTCCAGTTTCCTTTTCGGTAATTTTAAGGATCGTGAATTTAGTGAACTGTTTTGAAATGAAAGCTCTGCTTGCTTGTTTGGTGGCATTGTCCAGACAGAAGTGAAACATTCAGGTGCATTCATGTGGCTTCAGAATGAGAAACGATATATTTCCGAATGAAAAATGATGTCTCTCTGATTGTTAAACTCGATAATCATCCAGTTTTGAACGGTTAAACGAAACTGGTTTAGTTTACTTCCGTGTTACGTTTATTGGAAACATTTGTTTTGTACTAGCACTAACCTTAAGAATTTACCCAAGGAATAAGCAGAGGTGCACAGTGTTTTTATATGTGCACCATTTAGCATTAAAATGCACCTGACAGGCTCAGTTATTGATCTGGCTTGCGCCATTTCAAATTTCAATGTGCAAATGTCGCAATGGTGTGGTATAAAGGAATCCTTGCAAATGAATCTGTTTGACTAAGAATTTCAGAACCATAAACTGAAGTGATCATTAAAATGCATTAGGTGTCCAGTATGCAGTTTTGACTAAACCAGGCGAATCGTAAACAGACTCTACAGTTTTTTCCATCAATGCCATTGTCATGTGACTTGTCTTTAATACAGAGCTGAAGGACTAAGGGGATCGGGTGGTCAGGCTCACTCACTTGGTTGACACATGTCATCGTATCCCAATTGCATAGATCAATGCTCAAATGACATTGATCACTGGATTGTCTGGTGGGGATTAAATAATTTTCAGACCGCTGCCATATAGCTGGAATATTGCTGAGTTCGGTGTTAAACCACAAACAAACTCAATGACTATCTGATGTCCAATTCTGGTTTATATTGCTGGAATGTTACAAAACTAACATACACAATCTATTTTTCACTGAATTCCTTATGGGGCGGTGGGGTAGTCTGGTGGTTGAAGCATTTGCTCTTCACGCCAAAGACTGGGGTTCGATTCCCCACACGGGTACAATTTGTGAAGCCCATTTTTGGTGTCCCCCACTGTGATATTGCTGGAATATTGCTAAAAGCGGCGTAAAACCAAACTCACTCACTCACTGAATATCTTATGACTTTGGCCTTTAAAATACCATTGTAGAAAATGTCATACATTTCCAGTACAGACAAGGGGCATCCTAAAGCGTGTTTAACTCTTTCAACACCAGTCAACCAGAGGCATTTACTGCCATGACACCGAGTTCCCAGAGACTCTGAGGTCATAGATTAAGCCTATGTTTATGAAGGAAATTATAAGCTTGTAAAACGTTATTGCTACTACATCCCATACACCATTTAAAAGATCTAATCCTACTGTTGATAAATATGAAGTTTATTTTTATAATATTATTCAAATAATACAACTACAACTTAAATAAATGCATTTTTGAATGAAAATGCAAGCTTACATTTATAACCTCCAGATAAACCACTTTAAAGAAGCAAAAAACTATGGCTTATTTTTTCCATTTGTGACATGTGATAACATGCCCGTGCCTTTTCTTTTATATTTTCATTTTACGCCATCAGAAAATTATTATAAAAAAGATTTCTTAAATAATATGTATGGTCAGCCATTTCCCGATATCTGTGGCTTTCCGCCGGTAACATGACATAACAACGGAAAATACCTCCGCTTTCAAGCTTCAGATGCATAACATGCGAGGCTTAATCGCTTGATGTCGGGCATCGCTCGAAAGCTCTGAACATCAACAATATCACTGTACCCTTGCCAAGAGTATTTTCACAGTTGTAAGAAGCGATTTTATTGATAAAGATTGGTTTCTAATGACGCTTTTTCGCCATACAGTCTGCTATAAGGGTCGGATTGGTCAAAATCAGACACGGACCTAAGGCAGCCAATCATATTACGGCAATGGATACCGGCCCTCGTGAAACGTAAAAACCTTCAGATTTAGACAAAAGTTTTGGGTAAAATAATGCTATTCTGAACATATTAAGCAAGAAATCGCTACCTGTAATGTAAATTATGGAACTTATTGGACGATCGCGCTAGGTTATGACCTGTGACAAAAATGCTTCATGTATATATTTTCGCATTAAACATCGTGGTCCGAAAGCTGAAGATTGAGGCGGCGAGAGCCGAGATGTCACTCGTCAGTGACTTGACTTGCATTACATGATCGCACAAAAAGATGGAAATAGTAATTTTATATGTACGCTTGACAACTTTTATGAATGTTGTTGTTGATTTTATTCATTAGTTTATTCAATTTATTTAATGAATTCCTCAAACATCGTTATTTTGCTCTTTCACAATGTTATTGTAGACCCGCTGCCGAAGCATGTGTCCGAGAATCGTTGTTTTCAATAACATTGCGAAAAATAGTTTATAATTTTAATTCTGCTGATAATATATGATAAATTGAAATTTAATAAGTGTTTTCAGACATTGTGAAATGTGATAGATTTAATATATGAATCATAAGTCAGGTAGGTTCCTAAAATTATGTCTCATTTTGACGTGACTACTGCCTGGCCGCTTAATCGGACTCCGGTGTCTGGGGACTCATAACGTTGTGGCCACTTAAGCGGCCTGCAGTGTTGAAAGGGTTAAGCGTAATGGGTCCATCAGGACTTATTCACAGAATCTTTCTGTTGCAGATGTGACAAGATTTACTACATCCTTGGCCAACAGAGAGTGTCGGAGTTCAAAGAGTCTTCTAAGAACCTCATCAACGTACACATGGGCCTGTTCCGTCTGCCCACGTACACCACTGACATCCTCGTCACCTTCAACGACCCTGTCAGCATTGAGTAAGTTATCCCATATCACAAGTTGAATTTGATGCGGTTCCTCTCTACTACCCTGTAATTGGTGACTAACGTGATCGGGTTGTCAGGCTTGCTGACTTGGTTGACGCATATCATTGTATCCTAACTGTGTAGATCGATGCTCATGCTGTTGATCACTGGCTGGTCCAGACTCGATTATTTCCAGACCGTTGCCATATAGCTGGAATGTTGTTGAGTGTGATGTAAACCTACACTCAGTCACTCACTCACTCTACCACCCTCAGCAGCATGACTCTCAGTGGATCTGGTCAATGCAGGGAGGTGACCCCATTGGGCATTGGATGGCCACAATGTCTGTTGTATATTTACAGCAATGAGTAAATTTTTCTGTACAAGTTGAATAAGCAGGTTCAGCCTTTGCTTGCTGCAGGCATTCACAACACCATGGCAAGATTCACTGGATCTGTGCATATAATGGGAAGTGATTAAAATGGGTATTAGATGTCCACAATGTCTGTTGTATGTGGTGATACACATGGATGAATAATGTTAGGTCGTGTGAAAAGGATTGGGTGGTTAGTCTAGGTTCCTTGTTGATTGGTTCAGTTCTTCATTCACTGGTATGTTTGATTTGATGTGATGAAGATGGAATGTGTCTGTCTGTTAAAAAATATTCACTAAACAGCTTTCATGAAACATTCTCAAAATGATATTCATAAAACATTCACAAAACAACATTCATGAAACATTCACAAGGGTTTCATGAAGCGTTCACAAAGCAGCTTTCATGAAACATTCTCAAAACGAAATTCATGTAACATTCACAAAGCAGCATTCATGAAACATTCACAAGGGTTTCATGAAGCGTTCACAAAGCAGCTTTCATGGACTATTCATTAAACAGCTTTCATGAAACATTCTCAAAACGAAATTCATGTAACATTCACAAAGCAGCATTCATGAAACATTCATAAAGGTTTCATTACACATTCACGAAACAACATTCATGATGCACTCACAAAGCAGCATTCACTAAACAGCTTTCTTGAAACATTCTCAAAACAAAATTCATAAAACATTCTCAAAGCAGCATTCATGAAACATTCTCAACGTGACATTCATGAACCATTAACAAAAACAGCTTTCATGAAACATGCTCAAAACATTCATGAAACATTCACAAAGCAGCATTCATGAAACATTCACTAAACAGCATTCATGAAACATCACACATGAAACATTACACATGAAACATTCACAAAAGCAGCATACATGCTACAACCCAAGCTACAATACAAGTTGCAACACAAGTTACAACACAAGCAAGTTATAACTGACACTTTTCTCACACAGCCCAGACAGCAGCAGTCATGCAGCAATTCCAGTTTCGGCCAGCAGATGGATGGAGGAAGAGTTCCAGAGTGTAGTGAAGTCACTCAGCATTGACGACCCAGCCATCTTCACATGAGCCCAGAAACTCAACAAATCCAGTGTCCAGCCCCTGCTGGACCTCTGGTGTAGCGTCGTCTGCTTGTGATGCAAAGTTTGGAAATGATGCTATCCTGAACTCCTGGGATAGGGCCTTGGGACATAGAGATTTAAAAGTGAGAAATCAAGGATAGTCACATCCTTGCAGACGTGGTGTGTGATTCCGTGCTTTACGCATCCCCTGGTATACAACTTGCAACACTGGAATGACTTGAAGTGAATCTTTGAGGTTGTTTTTGTTAGTTTGTAATACTTATGATGTTTAAAATTCAAAATTCAGTGACATGAGGTTATTTGTTCAGTGTCAAGATTATTTGCTTTCAAACTTTACAATACTACCAATGTGATTAGAAATCTATCTCACTACAATATTTTCAGCATTCAAACTGTTGCTTCGTTTAGTGAGTTTAGTCTGCTGTGAAGTGCTGAATTATCTGAAGGCTAAATTCAAAAGTCGTTATTCCAGGGGCAGATGTGAAGTTGTTTATTAAGAAAATCCACACTGAGGACGTCTTTATCACTGAACTCATTCTTCAGAAAAAGAATTGTGTGAAACATGTTCAGGAAATAAGTTTCCAAACTTTGTTGACTTCAAATCTGTCACAGGGGTCATTTTTTAAACTGTCATATATTTTACAACCAAATTAACCATTATGAAAAAGGTAACAAACATTAAATCATACAGCTTAATGATAATCATGGATAACTTTTGAATCTTTGGTTGACAAAATTTGCATTTTGAAACATTGTGTTAAAGATAAGAAATGACCTCTCCATGATTCCATCAGTGCTTATGTTGAAGGCATTTTCTTGAGGCAAAGGGGTGTGTCATAGGGTAGCCTAGTGGTTAAAGAGTCAGACCTGGGATAAATTCCCCACATGGGTACAATGTTTGAAGCCTATTTCTGGTGTTCCCATCCCAGGGTAATACTATGATATTGCTAAAAGTGGCGTAAAACCAAACTCATTCGCTCTTGCTGATATTTAGACTGGCCTGCAGAGTATGTGCCCAGTTCAATCCCAATATCCTTGAATTGATTCAAATGTTGGTTTGTAAGTGCCATACTTGTTTGTTAGCTCTCTTCCCACGATACTGTGATAAAACTGAAATATTGTTAAATGCGGAGGTAAATTTCACTCACCTATTATGTACATAAAAGTTATTGAAATTACTCATTTTCAAGGTCTTTAGACCCTGGTTGATTGATAAATTGGAATTTTGTTTCTCCCAAACCAAAAATGATGACATGATTTCCACTAAAAGGTTTTGAATGTCTTTGTATATATTTCTGCTAATCTGTAGATTTAAGTCCACCACTATACATGAAGCGATGTCTTGACCTTGTGTAGATTGTTCATTCTGCAAGATTTTGTCATAAATGTTACAACATGCCATTCTGGGTGTTTTCATGCTTATTCTACTGCAGACCATGTGGCTTGCACCTTCCTTGAGGAGGCTTTTGAAACATATTTCATTGGTTGAAGGGCTCAAAATAGTAAAATGCAGCTGGCACATGGTCTACAGCATGTTAATGTGGGTCAGCATAATACGAGCCAGGTAGGTGACAATGTAAAGAACACAAAAACATGAATGTCCTACAAGTTTTTATTCTGGGTTGACGGCAATCTAGACAATTCAGTGATCGACTGTATCCAAGGAAAGGTCACCCACAATGCAGACGGCTCTTGGTTTTTATTGCATCCAACTCTGAAACACATCTTTTGGATAAACTCAAATGTTCATATGAATTGGTTCTGTGTTCCATGCAAACAATCTACAAAACACCGGGGGCAATATCACACCAGAAACTGGCTTTACACACTGTACAGTGGAAATATTGTTCAGCCTCTTTGATAACCATGGTTTACAGATACATAGTAGACTCGCTATTTCATGAATGTCTAATTCTACGAAAAGATCTGAAAATGCCATTAAGAATTTTACCTTGACAGTGGGCACTCACTATTTATCCCCCTGGTTTTCATCAACTTGCTTGGAGAGCTGAAAAAGTGGGAAAACATGTATGTGGGGCATTGAACTGATGTTAGCTGAAAATATCCATGGTTTCTTGTAGACAAAATGCTTAAAATCCAAGATAAAAAGCTGAACAAAAGAAACTAACCATTCGAAGGATAAATTTTGATTTACCTGGCACTTTGGGATCGATAAGATGAATGCGTTTGTCAACAAACCATCTAAGAGCATCCATGTTCCCAAGGGATCCAGGCTTTGTATCTGGACTGGTCATTGTGACTCCCGACCCTTCTGATTGTCGTAGAAGCTGAAATAAAAAAGCACATAACTACTATCATAACTTCCCATCACAAATTCAAGTTGATCTGATTTCTTACACTCACTCAAAAGCATCACCTCAGTTATAGAATACATATAATGCATCTGCAATGGAGTTCCACGTTTGTGAAACCCAACCTGCCAACAAAAGACATGTGACACCAATGACATACATTTTCTTGATTTAAGGGAACACCAGAAATGAGCTTCATACATTGCATCAAACCAGGTCTTAAGCATAAAGAGCGAACACCTTAACCACCTGGCTACCTAAGCTCAACTGAACAAAACATTCTCAGTACTGACTCGCAATCAAGCAGAACAAGACAGGGGTGGAAATAACTTTAAAATTGCTAGTGTACTCCTGTGGTAAAATCACTTGCCCTGATAAGTTTTCCACTATACCGGCCGTTTTCTTGTTGATTTTTTAAATAAACAACCTTATTAACATTGGAAAGTCAACTGGACACCGGTACAGCATGCTATACAAATTTGCTTGCCCGACAGAAAAAAAACACTGGACCCGGCTATTTCCACCCATGTATTGGCCAATAACTGTATTGCACTGTTGTGATTCAGGTATCAGTAAGGTATTACGATATATTGGGAACTTAATTGTTTGATAGGGTCAAAGAGTGAATAGTCCCTAAACGTATGGTTTTACGCCGCTGATAACAGCAATCAGCTTCTACTTATAGTATGCCGTTTTGTCAATGAATAATTGACTGACTGGCGGGCTATATCACGGCAGGGAACACCAGAAATGGGCTTCACACATTGTACCCATGTGGGGATTCGAACCCGGGTCTTCGGCGTGACGAGCCAACCCTTTAACCATTAGGCTACCAGAACAATTGCTGTCAATATAATGAAAGTGTAGATTTTAATTTAAACAATAAAGATAAGGGACCGTTCATTTATGGTGTGTGGGAGGGGTCCACACATTGTGTTCTTTTGAGGTAGTGGGGTCATCATTTTGTACGCATGCAGGGTGTGTGTGTGTGTGTGGTGTCATTCACATGATGCGCCAAACAAGTCATCACCACCACCAGTGCCTAATCACAAAAACTTCATATGTTCTTAATCTTATATATCCGTTCTCAGAAAAAAGTATTGCCATACCTATCGTTTGAAAAGCGCATTGCGATATACCGTGCAGTCCTACCCAACACTGAATCACAACTAAGCAGAACATTCTCTGTTCTTAATCACAATCTAGCAAAACATTCTCAGCACTGGACCTCCACCAAAAGTGAGTGAATTGAGCTTTACGCCGCACTCAGCAATAGTCCAGACCGACATGGTCTGTAAATAATCAAGTCTGAACCAGACAATTGAGTGATTAACAGCATGAGCATCGATCTGCGCAATTGGGAACCGATGACATGTGTCAAGCAAGTCAGCGAGCCTGGCCACCCGATCCCGTTGGTCGCCTGTTACAAGAATGGGTTATTGAAGGCCAATATTCTAACCCGGACCTTCACCAGGCTCAACCAAACAGAACATTCTCAGTTCTGAATCTTAACCAAGCACAACATTCTCAGCACTTAATCCCAACCAAGCACAACATTCAAGCACTTAATCTCAACCAAACAGAACATTCTCAGGACGGAAAATCAATCCAAAGACGCCATCAGGCATCACACTGAACCAATGGCCTCTGATGAGTTGCCGTAATACCTCAAGTTGGACACTACTTTGAAAAGCCTTCGCCAAGAAGCTAATTCACCACCGTGCTTGCTAAGCCTAGCAATTTCGACATTTTTTGATGGTCAGACAGGTTGTCCAAAATTAACGCCTTACGACAGAATCTTTGGTAAACCCTTATGGTGCATATCTCACGGAAACCGACCGCACCACGTGACCCTACTGACTGAAGTAACACTAGCAATCACCACCCTTGACTACAAGCTTTTTCAAATTAACACTTCATTTACAAACTGCAAATTTATCAGTGAGTGAGTTCAGTTTCACGCCGCTTTTAGCAATATCACGGCGGGGGAACACCAGAAATGGTCTTCACACATTGTGTGCCCATGTGGGGAATCGAACCCGGGTCTTCGGCGTGACGAGCGAACGCTTTGACCAATACTCTACCGCCCGGAAATGTATCAGAATGGTATTGAATCACTCTTAACTGCCTTTCTGCAAGATACTGTCACTGTAGTGTACTGTACTGTACTGTTTTGGCAGTTTAGCCTGTTGGTAAACAACTTGTAAATGATCTTTCAGATTAAAATATATACCAGCAAAGAGACCTCTTAAAAAGAAAACACAGCTCTTCTATTTTAGTTTGGAAAAGGAAATGCCTTCTTTTAAAATCAAACGATGCTCAAATTCAACAACGGTGAGTGATATATAATGGCCGATCAGCCTGATTTCAGCCATATCGTGACTACGTCTAATTCTTTAAATATACATCACACCATGTACATACCTGTCGACAAAGGACAGTAAATTAACTAGACCATCACATATTTAGACTTGAAACTAGCGTGTTATCATAACACTATAATTCATCCGCAATAATACCATATAAAAACTAGAAAGAGTTTTTATTCGGAAAAACAGATGTCTCCCCCAATTCAACGTTGAGGCCTCAAACAATTCATTTCATTCCTGCAATTTCAAAATCTCTACCTTCAAATTGTTGCCATGAAAACTGAACAAAAACACACCCTCAAACCCCCAAAGGCACATCTACATGATATGTAGAGGCAGTATACCAAATTTGGTAAAGATTGTTCAAGTAGTTTTTGACTTATATTCCGGAAACGGTGGGAACGCCGACGCCGACGGAAACTCAACCAAAAAACAATATGTCTCCCGACCCATAATGGAGTGTGAATTAGTTCAGTTTTAAGCCGCTTCTAGCAATGTTCCAGCAATTAAGTTGGGGAACCTACCGATCGGCCTATAATATGCCAAACGGGGAAAGAGTTCCTTCCGTTCCCCAACCCTAAACCGAACTCTAAACCTAACCCTAAGGTAAGTGTTCCTCCCGTTCCCCCATCACAAATAGTACTGAAATATACTAAAATTATTAACAAAAACAATTACTTGAGAAGTCACAAAATGACTAATAAAAGTCCACAATTTAAGTTAGGGTTAGGTTTAGGGTTGGTAAGACTTCCGCCCGTATCCCCCCTTTATTTTCATTATGCGCAAAAAAATAAATACATGTAAATTGTATTTTCAATGGTCTAGAAGCCATAAAAAGTGTTTTTTAAAGGACACTGTGCATACACACTTTGAAGTACCGAGATACGAACTCGCCTTACCCAGTGCATGTCGTCAGCCATTAAACTGAAAATGGCGGATGTGACGTCATAACTAAAAACTACTAGTAGTATCAAAACTAATAATACTCTGATAAACCAAAGTAAAAGAATTTGTACCTACCTACAAAGGGTATAGTCGGGCAATCGAATGTATCAGATACTCGAACGATCGATTGTCTCCAACGACACAGGTGCGCCAGATGTATTCCGACAGGTGGAGGACGAAGTTGCGTCTGGTCGAGTGCGTGCTTGGGATTTGGCGCTCCATGCACCACCACCTGTTTTCTATTAAGTTCGTGCACGCCTTAGTGCTTGGATCTGTAATAAGTACACAATCATATATATTACATAGTGTATGCAAACTATGTTACATTTTTAACATCAATAACTGAATCACCACAAATCATTCAATCATAAGGGCAATATTAACAATATTCATAAATATTTACAGACAAAATGTGATGAATGATTCACAGTCAAATGTTCGAATCCCAAATCTTTTATGCTTCTGTTAGCTGCCCAGTCATCGGAGATTATTGTTGTATGGGGGAGAACATGATGTTCTATGATGGGTAGTAGAGTAGAACTGTCTCGTTTTTTTACTGGCACAAGGACAATTTTGCGGGATTCTCGGCAGATCCCACGGAATACCCATGTCCCGTCTACTACACAGCCCCGATTGTATTTTCATTTACCAAATTTGGCCTCGTCAATCTCGACAGTGGTGACCGGTCCCCCTATTTGGGTACATCCACCAAGTTCGATGTCCTCGACACATACCTCACGAATGTAATTGACGTAATCCGATATTGTTTCTGTTGAGGTTTTGTCGCCACAGCCCTCTACCTCGTGGGGAATTGAGGTCTCTCTGGCAGTCTGTTCATAAGATCATTTTGTCGCGAAACAATAAAGGAAAAGATTTCCGCCCGTAACCCCCGGTTTTTCTTTCCATTCTATGCCTAAGATTCATAGTAAGAATATATGGTTCTTATATAACCCTAAACCTAAACCCTAAACCTAAATCCTATCACTTTGAAATGAACATATTAAATAGAATACATTTCAAGCGGGGGTTACGGGCGGAACTCTGACCCAATAAAGGAGAAGGAGTCATTTTCTCAAGAAAATATTGCTTCCTTCAAACCAGGCGGGTTTTTTTATCAGGGGAATAGTGTTTTTGTTAGATTGTTTACATTTCTTCTTATTGCACTGAAATCGAAATTGTGGGAATCGGTGATTTTTCGATTTCCATCTTTGTATTTTACTGACATCGGCCTTGCAATTTCTGCACCTACTCTTATTGGGTAGTAAATAATTATCCTGACAGAATTTTCTGGCTGATTCCTCAGTAGAAATCTTAGTGCAAAGAGTAAAAAAGTTCAGTCCTACAGTTGTTTCGGTACTGGTCCAGGGGTGGAGGTGGGACTGTCAGGATAAATTACATTATCGTTAGCATCGATGTGGAATCACACAAGACGAGGAGGAACTGTGGTCTGGTACCTTCACTTTGTTTGGTTCTATGTAACAATCCGAATCCAGCATCGATCTGCGCATTTGGGAACCGATGGCATGTGTCAACCAAGTCAGTGAGCCTGACCACCCTATCCCGTTAGTCGCCTCTTACGACAAGCATGGGTTACTGAAGATCAATATTCTAACCCGGACCTTCACGAGAGGAACAAACCATTAACCCGATTTTAAAGTCGGTTCAAACGATATCCCCAAGCTTCAATTTCGTTTTTGCAATCTATGCAGACAACGTGATGAAATTTCGGTTCGGGTAGAACAAAACTCCTCTGAAAGTGAACCACGGTTCGGTGTTCCCAGAGCAACACAAAATCTGATGCGAAAATGAAATACAAAATTATTTTTTCACTCACCTCTTCGGTTTTCCTTCGTTGTTTATTCGTACTTTCTTCTCCCAAGCCACCAAATGTGAGAGTTAACAAGAATGGCTGCCGACTGGCACGAAAAACCACCACACACGACAGAAGAGACGACAGATCTGCTCAAGATGCACGGACGGCCCGATCACCATACTTGGTCCTGATTGGCCAGTCGTGTCATGTGATGAGGCCGTCACAAGATTTGGGAGGGTGGGTGAGTGAGTCAAACTCTTAAGTCGCATCAACATTATTTCAGCTATACAGCGACGTGACCAAGTACATTTTAAATGCAAAGTTTAAAATTTCTTAAAATACACATTTCTTCATTACAGTACCATTAATTACAAATATTAACACCAAATTCAAAAATAGGAAATTTGTCATACATAGAATTTCTGATGCAGTGAGTGAGTGAGTGAATATGGTTTTACGCCGCTTTTGGCAATATTCCATCAATATCACGACGTGGGACACCAGAAATGGGATTCACACATTGTAACCATGTAGGGAATCGAACCCGGGTCTTCAAGGTGACGAGCGAACGCGTTAACCACTTGACTACCCCTCCGCCCCGAGCAGAATAGAACTGCTCATTAAGTTTCTGATTTCACTGAATCATCGAAATTGACTAAACATCAATAGTTCTGTGAAACATGAACGTGACATCCGAACGCTTTACCCACAAAACACTGGTTTCTCTTTTACGCGGTAGTCAACAATAATACAACTCTGTTAAGGAGACCTGTAAAATAATCGAAACCAGTGACTGGACGGGTTTAACAACGTCCCAAGCCGCCGAACCGTGATGGCATGCAATCAGCAAGGCCACTGTCCGAAATACGCATCATGTCAGAAAGCGCACGTAAAATCTCCAAATATAATCAAAGGGTGAGTGAGTTTAGTTTTACGTCGCACTCAGCAATATTCAAGCTATATGGCGGCGGTCTGTAAATAATCGACTCTGGACCAGACAATCCAGTGAGCAACAGCATGAGCATCGATCTGCGCAATTGGGAAACGATGACATGTGTCAACCAAGTCAGCGAGCCTGACCACCCGATCCCGTTAGTCGCCTCTTACAAGCATGGGTTACTGAAGGCCAATATTCTAACCCCGACCTTCACGGGTCTATAATCAAAGAAGTCCTAGCGCAGCTTACCCAGGAACTATATTTAATCATCCGAGCTCTCAGTGTAGGTAAAATCGTTCGAGGACGGCTGTATTGTATCTAAAACTGTGTTCTAACTTTGATATAAATTATTCTCCCGTACTGGAATTCAAGGACAGAAACATGGCTGCATCACAGATACACCAGTGTGTTAAATGTGTTAGATAGCGTGCTCGCCTGCCAGTTGTCTGAACAAGAGAACCGCGATATTTCATGCTACTTTGCGGGACTGGGTTTAGAACACATATACGGCACTGTTGCTCGTGCCGACTTTGTGTGCATGATAGTCTGTCTCACAGTCGCTGAACCTCATTATTTCCCAACTGCCTACAATGCTAAAGCCTAAACAGACTCAGGCTGCCATCCCATCTCCCATCTCACCGGGGATCCATTTCGATTTAAATGGGATTATTTGTTACTGTCAAAAATATATATGAGTGAGTGAGTTTGGTTTTACTCCCCTTTTAGCAATATTCCAGCAATATCACGGCGGGGGCCACCAGACATGGGCTTCACACATTGTACCCATGTGGGGAATCGAACCCGGCGTGACGAAGGGACGCTTTAACCATTAGGCTACCCCACCGCCCTAAAATTATATATAATCAGAGACTAAGTGTTAGTCTTTGAGCATGGTTGCTATGCACTTCTCCAGAAACGAAAACAACGATGATAGCATTCGGGTGTCGACACCCTTGATGCACTAAATGATAAATAATATTCCAGCTACCGGTGTTGATCCTGATGGATGCGAAAGTTAGTAAAATATTACCATGCTTGGTGAGTGAGTGAGTCTAGTTTCACGCCGCTTTTAGAAATATTCCAGCAATATCACGGCGGGGGGAAACCAGAAATGGGCTTCACACATCGTTCCCATGTGGGCAATAGAACCCGGGTCTTCGGTGTGACGAGCGAGCGCTTTAACCACTAGGCTACCCCACCGCCTCAGCATGCTCAGCTCAGTTGTTTGTAACCCAAGATTCAGCTTTAGTCTAGCCACACGAAGGTTTCCTGCTGAACGACTATTGGTCAAACAAACCCGTGATTGTTATTACGAGCATCGATCCTCGCTGTCGGAGTACGAGGATAAGCAATAAACCAGGCTATCTTTCCGTAGAATGGAGCCGGAGCCAGTTTCACAAAGAGGTCGCAGTGCTCCATTATTCGCAAGTGTGGTAAGGTAGAGGCGTCGTACGTACGATTGTCCTAACGCTTACATTGAAATGGGGCTCGAACGGGAGATGAAAATGACAAGAGAACTCGATGCATATATCACGTTACAAACACAGACCTTAACACTCATCCAGTGATGCGACATTTCGAACACTGAAGTCGGCACATTGCAACAATGTCGCAGCGACCTTAAAATATTTCAGTAATAGTCACAAACTGGTTGGCAGCATGACAACCACCTACAACGTCGGAGACGGGGACAGACATTGCAACCATCCAATCCTCCTCATGTTTATTTGTTGTTTAACCTGCAATCACCAATATTCGAGCTATATGGCGGCGGTCTGTCAATAATCGAGTCTGGACCAGACAATCCAGTGACACGAGTGGGACACGATGACGTATGTCAACCAAGTCAGCGAACCTGACCACCCGATCCCATTAGTCGCCTCTTACGACAAGCATGGGTTGACCAAATCTAAATGTTTCTAATATCAATCCTCGTGTGTTGAAGATCTGTTCTGCCCAGAATCCAAATCTCGATGATAGGCATCTTTAAAGGACATTCCAGGGAAATCACACCCAGGGCCCACTTGCACAGAGCAATCTTAGTTACAATCAATCTTAGGCCCCTACAATCAACTTTACAATCACCGTACAATTGCCCTAATCCACTTGCACAAAGCCGATCTTAGAGCGATTGTCATCTAAGATCGAACTCTTCAACGGTGCTCCTGTCTACAGTTGTCAGCAAGTGCGCATAGCATGCTGCGCAAATAAAAAGAGATACTGGTCCCTGCACACAATATACTAGTCTGTCTCACAGTCCCTGAACCACGTTATTTTCCCTACTGCCAAGCCTCTCTGCCGTGCTAAAGCCCTAAATAAAGCAAGTCTAGATTTCCTCAGGTTCTGAATCTCTGGTCTCCCTGGGGCTCCTTTTCAATTTAAATGGGCTTGTTTTGTTACTATCAAAATTATTTATATTCAGAGACTAAGCATTAGTCTAACAATATACATACCTACTTCAATCGCACCTTGCAAAGCACGGAAACTGTTGCTGCAGCAGGTTTTATTTTCAAGATTCAAACACATTTAACTTCAATATCAAAGTCAAAAACGTATATCGGTATACTAGTATTATGAACATATCTTGTTAGGGGTTCCGATATTTGTTTTATAACCGAATTGCTGCTACACGTGTTCACGACAGGGCGTCTGTGGTCGATGGTGGCGCACCCTACTGTAACCAGTCAAATATAGTTATCGCCATATTGCAAGCCGTAGGGTGAGACCGTTGTGTGAAAGTTAGGATATTCTGTGTGCACATGGAACTGAAGTACGATGCTTCCAGATAACACTTGTTCGATATATTCAGAGTAGCTAATTATTAGACTCTAATTAGACTCTCTGCGCTTCCAACGAGTCCGGGGTGAAGGCGAACGGCACCAACTCTCCCATCTGCACCTTTTTCCAGGTCTTGTCTGGTTTGACCATGTAAAGGTCCCAGTTCAGCCCGAACTGTGAAATCAAAGGTTATGTGGTTAGATGACTGTTTTTGTATTTTCTGTGATGAAGTCCGATTAACTGTGGATTGTCGTAAAACTCGAGTGCGTGAGTATTGTTTCACACCGCTTTTAGGAATATTCCAGCAATATCACGGCGGGGGACACCAGAAAGAGGTTTCACACATTGTATTCATATGGGGAATCGAACCCGGGTGTTCGGCATGACGGGCTAACGCTTCAACCACTAGGCTACCCCACCGCCCAAGTAAAACTCGAACAACAATGATAATAAAGCTCAAAGTCCTGATGCCTGATCAAAGCGCTTGGTTACTTAACCGGTCCATTGATCAGTGTGCACACGATTGCCATTCTCAACCCCCTGGGGAGTATACAAACTAAACTGCCTGTGGGGCACAAGAAGCTTAACAGCAACAAATGTTATATTTGGGATTTCACTTTCTCTGTAAAGTATAGATTCTTGTACTTTTGTCAGGTTGAGTACCATCCGGGTTCGAACCTACGTTATCAGAGTTAGTCACCTAATTACCAGCACAAAAAAGCTTAAATCAGCGATCTAACCCACTCAGCCATCGTTTGACAGTCACATTACCATGTCCTAGCGTCCTGCAGGATTGGATGGGCTAGTGGTTAATGTTGGTACGATTCCCCACATGGGTACAATGTGTGAAGCCCATTTCCGTCCTGGTAACATTGCTGGGCGGTGGGGTAGCCTAGTGGTTAAAGCGTTGGCTCGTCACGCCGAAGGCCCGGGTTCGATTCCCCACATGGGCACAATGTGTTAAGCCCATTTCTGGTGTTCCCCGCCGTGATATTGCTGGAAAATTGCTAAAAGCGGCGTAAAACTAAACTCAGTCAGTCAGTCGTAACATTGCTGGAATATTGCCAAATGCGGTGAAAAATCATACCAATTCACACACAACCCAAACTTTGGAAACTCTCAGGATCTAAACTGACAAAAATTCACCGTCCAGCTTTTTAAAGGCACAGCTCAATTTCACCTGACACTTAAATTGGTACATTGTTTTTTAGACCCAATTTCATTAACAAAACTCGTTTAATTATCTGACAAGCTAATTTAAAATCATTAAGGTTTTGTTACCATAAGTTTTTTTATACCTCAATAAAAAACTGTCGGCAGGCTCCGCATGGTCCTTTGAATGAGTCCACTATATCACTGAAATACATAAATGGAGTTTACAATACACAAGAAACCTAATCGATGTGTTGTCAGGGGAGATAACTAAGTTGATCCTCAAAATGGAAAAGTGTGGTTGGACACGCGCAAGTCCCTAAAGCCATACTTAACACTAACTATATATAGTAGGTCAGGAGCGTAGGAATTTTTTCAAGACAAAACCATATCTACCTTACCATAACTACAATTTCATTTTGATTTTCAATACTTTTCATAAATTATTCCCCCTTCTATAGATCGACTTCATTCAGAAAATATCGTAAATATTTGGAAAAGTTACATTTAATTCCAGATAAAAAAAGCAGTGGGTATGTTGAATTGTGATGCCAGCAGTTTGTCTTTTCGAAAGAGAAACACTTGAAATTGGACTAACGCTTAGTCTCTGAATATATGTAATTTTGATAGTGACACATAATCCCATTTAAATTGAAAAGGGGCCCCAGGGAGATGGAAGATTAATATTCTGACGAAATCTAGATTGGCTCATTTAGGGCTTTGGCATTGCAGGGGGGGCTAAGCAGTAGGGAAAATAATGTGGCTCAGGGACTGTGAGACAGACGAACTTCACATGTTAGCAGGCAGGCGCGTAGCAAGGTCATTTTTCGTGTAAGCCCGATAGATTGCAAAGCTTTTTATTAAGATAATATTGAGGACTTGCCCAACCTTTTTAGCAACAATCATGTGTAAGCCCGGGCTTTTTTTGACAATGGTAGCTACGCCCCTGGCAGGGTACATTGAATACAATAAAATGAAAATCTGCCAGTCTGAATGGCATTGTATATTTCATGCCCGTCTGAAGGTAAAATAAGGTGGGTGATTGACAAATGACTGAATGTATAAAATACGATACCCTCACCAGGAAACAACCGCAGCTCTGAACTTCCGATGACCCTTGGATAAAGCGTTGGTCATGGCTACTCTTTCAGCGCATATGCTCAGACCGTAGGAGGCATTTTCAATATTGCAGCCTGCAACAGTGACCGAACATGTTCAATACAGTAACACCTTGTATATCATCATGCTGCCTACAGCACCGGTAGGGTAGCCAGGTGGTTATTTTAAAGCGTTCGCTCGTCACGCCGAAGATCCGGGTTCGATTGCCCACATGGGTACAATGTGTGGATCCCGTTTCCGGTGTCCTCCTCCGTGATATTGGGAGAATATTGCTAAAAGCGGGGTAAGACTCACTCACTCACTCACTCACTCACTGGTTGGTTGGGTGTTGTTGAACGCCGCACTGTTCCAGCTACATGTCGGCGGGCTGTTAATAATCGAAATAACTGTCTGAACCAGACAATCCAGTGATTGACATCATGATCATCAATCTACGTCATTGGGACGCGATGACGTGTCAACTAAGTCAGGGGAGTCTGACCAAATGATTCCGTATGACAACCATGGGTTGCTGAAGATCAGTTGTACCTCCCACCCGTCTTACATCAGCACAACCTCTTCCTCACATCTTCTGATCTGTCAACACTGATTCCTTAACAATAGGTCCGGCAACCCGGATCTTCACAGGTCATAATCAATAGAAAACCGGAACTAAATATAATCACGATATGAAGTACCATCACACCATCTGATGCTTGGATAACAAATACGATTCGTGAAACTGTCTTACAGTTTGTGTCCAAATATCGTGATTCTTTGGTATATCTATGTTACCATGTTATCTATGTTACCATGTTATCTAAGTTACCATGTTATATATGTTACCATGTTATATATGTACCATGTTGTCTATGTTAGCGATGTTACCATGTTATCATGATACCTATGTTACATGGTTATCTCTGTTAACTATGTTACCATGTCAACTATGTTACCATGTTATTTATGTTACCATGTTATCTGTGTAACCATGTTATCTATGTTACAAAGTTATCGGTTACCATAGTATCATGATAGCTATGTTACAATGTTATCTGTGTTAACTATGTTACCATGTTATTTATGTTACCATGTTATCTGTGTTACCATGTTATCTATGTTACAATGTTATCTATGTTACCATAGTATCATGATATCTATCTTACAATGTTATCCGTGTTAACTATGTTGCCATGTCAAGTATGTTACCGTGTTAACTACATAACCATGTTATATATGTACCATGTTGTCTATATTACCATGTTATATATGTACCATGTTGTCTGTTATCGATGTAACCATGTTATCATGATACCGATGTTACATGGTTATCTCTGTTAACTATGTTACCATGTCAACTATGTTACGATGTTATTTATGTTACCATGTTATCTGTGTTACCATGTTATCTATGTTACAATGTTATCTATGATACCATGTTATCTATGTTATCATGTTATCTGCGTTACCATGTTATCTGTGTTACCATGTTATCTATGTTACCATGTTTTCTATGTAACCATGTCAACTATGTTATGATGTTATTTATGTTACGATGTTATCTGTGTTACCATGTTATCTATGTTACCATGTTATCTGTGTTACCATGTTATCTGTTACCATGTTATCTGTGTTACCATGTTATCTATGTTACCATGTTATCTATGTTACCATGTTATCTGTGTTACCATGTTATCTATGTTACCATGTTATCTATGTTACCATGTTATCTGTGTTACCATGTTATCTGTGTTACCATGTTATCTGTTACCATGTTATCTATGTTACCATGTTATCTGTGTTACCATGTTATCTATGTTACAATGTTATCTATGTTACCATGTTATCTGTGTTACCATGTTATCTGTGTTACCATGTTATCTATGTTATCTGTTATCTACCATGTTATCTATGTTACCATGTTATCTATGTTACCATGTTATCTATGTTACCATGTTATCTAAGTTACCATGTTATCTGTGTTACCATGTTATCTATGTTACCATGTTATCTATGTTACCATGTTATCTGTGTTACCATGTTATCTATGTTACCATGTTATCTATGTTACCATGTTATCTATGTTACCATGTTATCTATGTTACCATGTTATCTATGTTACCATGTTATCTGTGTTACCATGTTATCTGTGTTACCATGTTATCTATGTTACCATGTTATCTATGTTACCATGTTATCTGTGTTACCATGTTATCTATGTTACCATGTTACCATGTTATCTGTGTTACCATGTTATCTATGTTACCATGTTATCTATGTTACCATGTTATCTGTGTATGTTACCAATGTTATCTATGTTACCATGTTATCTGTGTTACCATGTTATCTATGTTACCATGTTATCTATGTTACCATGTTATCTATGTTAACCATGTTATCAACTATGTTATCTATGTTACCATGTTATCTATGTTACCATGTTATCTATGTTACCATGTTATCTATGTTACCATGTTATCTGTGTTACCATGTTATCTATGTTACCATGTTATCTATGTTACCATGTTATCTGTGTTACCATGTTATCTGTGTTACCATGTTATCTATGTTACCATGTTATGTTACCATGTTATCTGTGTTACCATGTTATCTATGTTACCATGTTATCTATGTTACCATGTTATCTATGTTACCATGTTATCTATGTTACCATGTTATCTATGTTACCATGTTATCTGTGTTACCATGTTATCTGTGTTACCATGTTATCTATGTTACCATGTTATCTGTGTTACCATGTTATCTGTGTTACCATGTTATCTATGTTACCATGTTATCTATGATCTATGTTACCATGTTATCTGTAAGTTACCATGTTATCTGTGTTACCATGTTATCTATGTTACCATGTTATCTATGTACCATGTTATCTGTGTTATCTGTTATCTGTGTTACCATGTTATCTATGTTACCATGTTATCTGTGTAACCATGTTACCATGTTATCTATGTTACCATGTTATCTGTGTTACCATGTTATCTGTGTTACCATGTTATCTGTGTTACCATGTTATCTGTGTTACCATGTTATCTATGTTACCATGTTATCTATGTTACCATGTTATCTATGTTACCATGTTATCTATGTTACCATGTTATCTGTGTTACCATGTTATCTATGTTACCATGTTATCTTGTAACCCATATGTTATCTATGTTACCATGTTATCTGTGTTACCATGTTATCTGTGTTACCATGTTATCTATGTTACCATGTTATCCATATTATCATGTTATCTATGTTACCATCTTTATCTGTGTTACCATGTTATCTGTTATCCATATTTATCTGTGTTATAAATATATTATCTATATGTTATCTGTGTTATCTGTGTTACCATGTTATCTATGTTACCATGTTATCTGTGTTACCATATTATCATGTTACCATGTTATCTGTGTTACCATGTTATCTATGTTACCATGTTATCTGTATGTTACCATGTTTATGTTATCTGTGTTACCATGTTATCTATGTTACCATGTTATCTATGTTATCTGTGTTACCATGTTATCTGTGTTACCATGTTATCTGTGTTACCATGTTATCTGTGTTACCATGTTATCTGTGTTACCATGTTATCTGTGTTACCATGTTATCTATGTTACCATGTTATCTGTGTTACCATGTTATCTATGTTACCATGTTATCTGTGTTATCTGTGTTATCCATGTTATCATGTTACCATGTTATCTATGTTTACCATGTTATCTGTGTTATATATTATCTATGTTTACCATGTTATCTGTGTTACCATATTTATCTATGTTACCATGTTATCTGTGTTACCATGTTATCTGTTATCTGTGTTACCATGTTATCTGTGTAACCATGTTATCTGTGTTACCATGTTATCTATGTTACCATGTTATCTATGTTACCATGTTATCTGTGTTATCATGTTATCTATGTTACCATGTTATCTATCTATGTTATCATGTGTATCTGTGTTACCATGTTATCTATGTTATCATGTTATCTGTGTTACCATGTTATCTATGTTACCATGTTATCTATGTTACCATGTTATCTGTGTTTTCCATGTTATCTATGTTACCATGTTATCTGTCTGTTATATCATGTTATCTATGTTATATTTATGTTATCTATGTTACCATGTTATCTATGTTACCATGTTATCTATGTTACCATGTTATCTATGTTACCATATGTTATCTATGTTACCATGTTATCTATGTTACCATGTTATCTGTGTTACCATGTTATCTATGTTACCATGTTATCTATGTTATCATATTTATCTGTTACCATGTTATCTGTGTTACCATGTTATCTATGTTACAATGTTATCTATGTTACCATGTTATCTGTGTTACCATGTTATCTATGTGTCTATAACCATGTTATCTGTGTTACCATGTTATCTATGTTACCATGTTATCTGTTATCTGTGTTACCATGTTATCTATGTTACCATGTTATCTATGTTACCATGTTATCTATGTTACCATGTGTTATCTGTGTTACCATGTTATCTATGTTACCATGTTATCTGTGTTACCATGTTATCTGTGTATGTTATGTCAATCTATTATTTGTTATCTGTGTTATGTTATCTGTGTTACCATGTTATCTGTGTTAACCATGTTATCATCTATGTTACCATGTTATCAGTTGTTACCATGTCATGTTATGTTACCATGTTATCTGTGTTATCATGTTATCTGTGTAACCATGTTAACATGTCAACTATGTTACCATGTTATCTATGTTACCATGTTATCTGTGTTACCATGTTATCTATGTTACCATGTTATCTGTGTAACCATGTCATCTATGTTACCATGTTATCTGTGTTACCATGTTATCTGTGTTACCATGTTATCTGTGTTACCATGTTATCTGTGTTACCATGTTATCTGTGTTATCATGTTATCTATGTTACCATGTTATCTGTGTAACCATGTTACCATGTTATCTGTGTTCCATGTTATCTATGTTACCATGTTATCTGTGTAACCATGTTACCATGTTATCTATGTTACCATGTTATCTGTGTTACCATGTTATCTATGTTACCATGTTATCTGTGTAACCATGTTATCTGTGTTACCATGTTATCTATGTTACCATGTTATCTATGTTACCATGTTATATGTGTTATCATGTTATCTATGTTACCATGTTATCTGTGTAACCATGTTACCATGTTATCTATGTTACCATGTTATCTATGTTACAATGTTATCTGTGTTACAATGTTATCTGTGTTACCATGTTATCTATGTTACCATGTTATCTTATGTGTTACCATGTTATCTATGTTACCATGTTATCTATGTTACCATGTTATCTGTGTTACCATGTTATCTATGTTACCATGTTATCTATGTTACAATGTTATCTATGTTACCATGTTATCTATGTTACCATGTTATCTGTGTTACCATGTTATCTATGTTACCATGTTATCTATGTTACCATGTTATCTGTGTTACCATGTTATCTATGTTACCATGTTATCTATGTTACAATGTTATCTGTGTTACCATGTTATCTGTGTAACCATGTTATCTGTGTTACCATGTTATCTATGTTACCATGTTATCTGTGTTACCATGTTATCTATGTTACAATGTTATCTGTGTTACCATGTTATCTATGTTACCATGTTATCTATGTTACCATGTTATCTGTGTAACCATGTTATCTGTGTTACCATGTTATCTATGTTACCATGTTATCTGTGTTACTATGTTATCTGTGTAACCATGTTATCTGTGTTACCATGTTATCTGTGTAACCATGTTATCTGTGTTACCATGTTATCTGTGTTACCATGTTATCTGTGTAACCATGTTATCTGTGTTACCATGTTATCTGTGTTACCATGATGTCTATGTTACCATGTTATCTATGTTACCATGTTATCTATGTTACCATGTTATCTGTGTTACCATGTTATCTGTGTTATCATGTTATCTTTGTTACAATGTTATCTATGTTACCATGTTATATATTTTACCGTGTTACCTGCGTATATTTCTCCACTTTCTGTCAACACTGCACATCCAACATGAAAATTACTGTACGGGCAGTGGGCAAAACTCTTCACGTCAAAGGCAGCGTTCACCAGTTCTTGCAGTTTCTCATCTGGAATCAAACAAGGATATTATTACCTCCTCATCTAACTGTGACCGAACTGACTGTATCGTTCCTGACTAACCGAGTTGCCGAACTCGCAACATCGTATCTGATTCATGAATGCCGAAATAACGTGATTACAATTGTCGTGAACTGACAATATGGTGTCAGAAAAAGACGTTTGTGGAACTGATTACATCCTGTCTGTCAAAGCCTGTTACCCAACGAACGACATCGTATATGACAAAGCATGTTTCCAAGCTCACCACACGTGACAGCTTGTTGTCGAACTAACTGCCTTGTACCCGGCTAATCTTGCTGCCAAACTCACCATATCGTACCTGACAAGCTTGATGCCTAACAATACATTTTATTACCCACGTGGTCAACGTATGGGTACTTGCATACTAATCTCGTACGTCACACGAGTGTCGTATCGCGTTGACCTATGTCGTAACGACTTGACCTGAGATTCTAACGATTTGATTGGATAACCCATGACCTCTCAGTTAGGTCACGTTGTGACGGAACTACTTGTTCATTCATAACAAACACGTGAATTCATTCATTCTACAACTTAGATGCATTGTGGGAATGTAAACATTGCGAACGTTGCCGTGCCGCTGTTTAACACACTCCGTCACAGCGATGACTTAACATAGAATCACTGCCACGGGCTAATTTGCATATCACGTGACCTGCCTTTTCTCTTGTTTGTAATCAAACGCGCATATTCATAATAAGAAGAGACTGGACTCGCGAAAGCTTTTCGGCGCTCTCTTCATAATGTTTTACATTTTTACACATATATTCTTCCACAACTGCGACAGTAAGGTCTATGACAGTACATATTTAGATATCAAACTGGCTGCATCGTTTGCTCTCCATCAGCTTCGATGACAGCACGTGGAGCCGTACAACCTATGTAAACAAAGGATCGCCACGCAAATCGAAATAGTGTTACATGTTTTTGGACATTTTCTCAGTGAAACTAAACCATTATATTAAAGATGTTTAGTTAGACGTGTAGACTCGTCAAAAATAAAAGAGTAAAAGAAATCTGTACATTGAATGGACATTGCAAGATGTGACGAATCGTCACATTTTTCTGGCCTGTGGCAGAGATACTATGCTGGCTTGCCGCATGGAACTCTGGGTAGGAGAGTGGCTGTTTAATTGTGAGTCGAACTGAGACATTATATCCGTCGAAAAACATAAACGCAATGTTTCACCAGTGATGTTAGCCGAGTGAAGCAGTTGCAAACCGAAAAACGGGGTGCTACGGAGTAGTTTACTGAAGGAGGTTGTACGAGAGGCGATGACAACTGACATGTATCGTGACGTCGGTTACCAAGGGGACCGACGAGAATGGCGTAGTGACGTCAATACAGTGTGACGTCATGCAAAAGTGTACGTCAGAACAAAATTCTTCCGCAACCTCTTTATGAAACCGGTTTCGGTTTGAAACCACAACAATACCAAAACTACGCTATTTTGTCAATTTAATGCATGTAAGACGTGGGTAATAAATAAAATACCACACTCGGTCTCATTACATACGAATTATACGAAACTCGTGACCTTCCTATGGTTTCTGACCTCGCTTTCGCTCGGTCAGATATAGGAAGGACCCTCGTTTCGTATAATTCGTATGTAATGAGACCTCGTGTAGTATTCTCTATTTGTATCTCATACATTGCCGAACAACCTAAATTGGTTGCCGAAAAGACGTGTGTGCCTGTAAGCCTGTCGAACTTACTCTCTGACCGGCAAACTACTCAAAAAAATATGAAACCTCACAGCCACATTACTGGTGATATGTTCGGGTAATTCTTTTCAGTAGTACATCGCCATTTGAAATATTATGAAGTTCACATTTTCAGTAATTGGCTTATCATCACCATATGCAGAGGGGTACCTATCTGACCTATGTCGTCACTGACACTTACTCTAATTCAAATGAGTGCTGGAAGTACATGACTGCCATATATATATATATATATATATCGTTTACTTCAGTATAGCTGGAAGAGCTTGATGATGAGGAGAGGTGAGGTGAAATTGGGTTTAACGTCGTGCTTGAGAGTATTTCGCTCATATGACGACGTGCATGTGTGTATGTGCGGCTGCTTGTACTAGCCCAGACTTATAGTGCTAGCCCACTGAGATACCATGCCGCAGTGAAGCACGAATGCCCCACTCAGACACATTATACTGACTCCGAGCCGACCAGTCCTTGTTGTACTCATTAATGCCGAGCGCCAGACAGGGACCAACAATTACCATATTTTAACGTATTTTGTTATGACGCGTTCGGGGATCGAACCCGCGACCTTCCGCACTCCGATGGGACGCTCTAACTACTACAGCACGGAGGCGGTCAGCTTGATGGTTAGTGGGAAGCATGGCCGTTTAAAGTAGCAGTGGAAGACTGGTTTCAGTTTGGAAATAAAAGTATAAGACTGACATTTAGTCAGAAATATAGATATTTTATTTGAAAATAAATAAATTAATAAAATTAGCAATAAATTAGTAAATAACGATTTCTTGAAACCGAGAGAGTTCAGAAATACTATTTAAATCGGCGCTGGACACATCTCACTCATCCAATAATTCAACTTGGTCGACACGTGTCATCGCATCCGTAGATCGATGCTCATGATGTTGATCACTGGATTGCCTGGTCCAGACTCAATTACTTATAGACCACCTCCACATAGCTGGAATATTGCTGAGTGGTGTTAAACAACAAACCAACCAATCCAATAATTCATAAATTTCTACGACCGCTATTTACATGTTTAACAATTAGCATGGCTAACTATAGCCTCGTCACGTAACGATTTTTGCCACTCATTTAGTCTGGGCTCCGTCGCGGCGGTATGACATTGAGGGAGGCGGCCCTAAAATCTACATCTACATGAAAAGGAGTTCCTTTGAACCCGTTAAACACAACGAACCCCGTTCCTTACAAACTGTGGAATATAATGTTTAAAAATTTGGATTTGAACTTTCAATTCTTCTTTTGCGCAGAACTGGAAGCTTACCACTAACCCCACTAACACCAACCCTTGTAAAGCCTACCCATGTTTGCTCCGGGGAATCCTCTCCCTGAAGATCTGGGTTAGAATTAATCTCCAGTAACCCATACTTGTCGTAAGAGGCGACTAAAGGGATCACGTGGTCAAGCTTACTGACTTAGTTGACACATGTCATCGTGTCCCAATTGCGTAGATCGATGCTCATGCTGTTGATCACTGGCTTGTCTGGTCGAAACTCGATTATTTACAGACCGCCATAAAGCTGGAATGTTACTGAGTGCGGCGTAAACCTAAACTCACTCAGTTTCCATGTATAATTGGCCATATGTCGCAATCACATACAAACGAGTGCAGTTGAAGATGAGGCACATTTAAATGGCACACGTCTGTTTATATTAGATTGCACACAACGCAGGTAAATATGGACAGAGCGGGTCCCTGCAAGTAACTGATTCTAGTTAACCACAAGACCAATCAATCCAAGGTTTTCGGTCAAACTGGGTTAGACCCTAAATTCCTTTAAACATATTTTATAAACAAGACCCCCTCCAATACGTACATAAATAATTAAATATATAGTTAAATCATCATCATCTTCACCATCATCATCAGCTACATGCCTTGGTGAACCCACAGGCCCCCACTGCGGGTCAGAAAATCGATAAACTAGGCCCCGGTTTAGTATCAACACCCCCTACTATATAATATATACAGGTTCATCACTGAAATACGGTGACATGATCGAAAACCGGACAATTACGCACACGTCAATGAATATATCGTATTTTAGAGGTCTCACAAGTATCAAAAGCTTTTGTCCATATCTCCGATGTATGTATGAGGCATATACATGGGCTTTCCGTGGGGATGCATTTGATGTTTTTTATTAAATCGCCAAAGACCGAGAAAACGGACAATGGCGACCTAGACTACACAACCACGTGGGGCGACGATACGCGATCCCTCTTTCAGTGCAATACATAGCAGTGATCCATCCACAGCGTTCACCACTACTGTCAACCCTAACCGGTATTGGCCTATTTTGTACTCATAACAGCTTACCCAGCTCCTCAAATGCCTTTCCATCCATCGCTTCACTTGGCGAAAGCGGCGACACCACCTCTTGACCTTGACCGACCGGTTCGTGACGGGCGCGCGTGTCCGAAGTGACAATAACTCCAGACTATCGCCCAGTCCCTGAAAATGTATTTGATTGAAACAAACAATGTCAACATATTTGAAAAGGAGCCCCACTGAGATGGAAGAAGCGATGTAAAATCTAGACTATAGATAAATAGAATTACAGTTGGGGCTGGGCGGAAGGGAAACTTTTCTGGTTCGTGGACAGTCAGTCACAACGGTCCTAAACCATTCGATGCATGTTTATGAATATATTAACTTGGCACGGCATTGGATGAATATTCAAATTGTGAACGTGCTTCATTTAAATTCCCAAGTACTACGTGGCCTGACTTCTCGTTAATGTTCTTGCTTATATTCCAGTCAAAACTGATGCAATGTTGATATAGATTCAGAATTTTGGTATGAAAACCAAAGATAGAGCACTTACAGCCTTGTGCGACGTCATCTATACTTTTCGGGTATGGGGGTCGCCTCACGACCAGGTTCGAGGTCAAGGTCGGGGTCGAGGTCAGGGTTCGATTCCACTCACTTGTTCAACTTTTGTAGTGTTCTCCCGTGAGAGTGCTGAAATACCGCTATAACCATACTCGCCCTCTCTATTGTTTTCAGGGGTAGGGAGGTAGCCTGGTGGTTAAAGCGCTCGCTTTTCACGCCGTAGACTCGAGTTTAATTCCCCATATGGATACAATGTGTGAAGCCCATTTCTAGTGTCTCCCGCAGGAATATTGCAGGAATATTGCTAAAAAAGGCTGAAAATACAACTCACCCACTCACTCCAACTGAGCTAAATGTCAGCTATATGTATGGTGAGATGCAACTAAACTCACTCTGTGTAAGCACCATACCTGCGTCAGTTGCCACCTTGTGCTTTCCTGCCACATCTCGTGGTGTAACTGCAACATTGTTCTTACATGCGTTAAACACGACTCACTGTTGTACATGTAGAACCTTCTATAAGTAGATCATTTTGTTTCTGTAACGGTAGACAATTAATAGCCACAAAACTCTGGGATATTTTGGTAAAAAATAGTGAAGAATGATACACGCCACTTTCTACCACAATCCAACAATATCTTTTCTGACACATCAGTGGTAGACTGTCTCCCATACCCAAATGAATAAATAAAAACTGAATCCAAAACAGTCCTAGAGTGATTTGATTAGGCAAGCCTACATAGACTGAGAGAAAATTGGTTCTGAGCTCAATTTAAATTACGTATGTATGTATGTATGTATGTGTGTGTGTGTGTGTGTGTGTGTGTGTGTGTGTGTGTGTGTGTGTGTGTGTGTGTGTGTGTGTGTGTGTGTGTGTGTGTGTGTGTCTGTATGAATGTGTGTGTGTGAGAGAGAGAGGGAGAGAGAGAGAGGGAGTGAGAGAGAGGGAGGGAGAGAGAGAGAGGGGGGGGGGGAAAGAGAGATGTGTCACTCCAACACTGCCCCGGATTTCCCAGGAAGATCTAGGGATAAAGTAATGGCTCAAACAACAAATTCAAATTGAGTCCATGTACCAACTGTCTTTCACCAACCACACATCCACACATCTCACCTCACCTCACAAGGCCTAATTTGTCACTGTCTGACGTATTCCTGGCTATTTGGTTTTCCCTTTTACGCTGACACTGTTCCGTGGCTAACTGTACAAATTAACAGTAGCGGTCTTGGATTTCTTCATTAATAGTCTTGTATTTGTCTTCCGGATCGCAACAAATCCAGATCTCTGTCTCTTAAAATTTATTTGATTATTCCTGATCCCTTTCCCAAGGCTGATTTGATTTGCTCACTGGTTCGCTGTGCTGGGTGTAGAATCATTCAGTCAATAGTAATGCACTCAGCTGATCACCTTGGCACGTCCCTCTTTGCATAACTTAATTTCGCTAAATCTATCGAGCATATAAACTATTGAGTAAATACCACTGAAGCCCTGGCCCTGGTATAGAAGCCTCTTGATCACTGTCCAGTGACTAGAAGGCTCGTCTAGGTCCCCAATAAGCAGACATGAATGCACCCCGGCACCAGACGTGGACAGACTGCATAGATAATTGTCGTTGATTTTGGATCGATGGTAGCGAATAAAAAAAGAAGCGAAGTGTCTCACAGGTTATTAGGTTACGGAACTGGTGGCAGGTTTGCATTTGAGAAAAAAGGGGGAACCGGTTACAGGAATTAAGTTCACAATTCTCCTGGCACTCGAAGAAATCAATTTTCATTTCGAGGTCACTATTGACTCTGTGCTCTTATCTGTTCTTTTGGTACTTGGTCTTAGCTTGGTGTATAACTGTGTGGATCTGTGGCACAGTCAGCAGCTGACCCTATATCACTATCATAAGCCTGAAGGGGACATCCCAACGTTTTTGCGACTGGATTCGAATTGGCCTGATTAAACAAACTGTTGCAAACAAACCCCAAAAAACACACCAACACACACCAACACAACACCTCCCCCCACACACACACACCAAAAAAACACAAAAAAACGTATTGCTTGAGATGAAAATCGAAAAATTTATGAACCTAGCATTAATATTATAATATTATTGCATTATTTGACCATAGCATTGACGAATAAAGAACTGTTGATTTGAGTGCTCTTTTATGTTAAAATGAGGAATGTTATCTTGTAATTGCAGACCTCAGTGTCAGAGATAATACTATCCGTTGACTGTATAACCTTCAAGGGTCAATACGGACTGTAGCGCAACATGTTGTGGGTACATGTAGTTCATACCAAGGTAATACGTTTTTAGGAATTCTTGTCACCTTAAATACCAACAAACAACTCAGCCCTGTAATACAGTACCAACTGTCAATGACCTTCTTATGGACAACGGAATGTGCTTCATATGACGCGGCAACTGAATAATTCTTTTTTCAAAAGGTCCACCAATTCCCGAGACACTTTTCTCCCTTCTATAACTCAACCAACAAATATTTATAACATACACACATACTCACACTCTTCACAGAAACGTGTCTTACAAAACAATAATCGGCAGGGTAACACTTAGAGAAAGGCTTCTGCTATATTGGAATAAAAAAAGATGGCCAGATGGCAGGAGGCTTTCTCGATGTATCATTGATGCCAAACCAGTGTTACCTCTGGAAATAAGACGACAAAAAACTCAGCCCACTGACACATATCCCCCGAACTGTTGCCCACGTGTTGTGACACATGCTCATGTTATGTGTTGTAAATATAGGAGTAATACTGGAGCGTTCTGGTAATGGCGACAGATGTTGGCACCGTCAGTATCAATATTCCTGCAACCATACAGCACCATAAACTCTTCTCATGACGTCTATCTGTGTTGTGGAACAGACAATGCAAGGCTGTGGATCTTATGTCACCAAACAGCGATCCTCATGTTTTCAGAGTATATATATATAAATGGAACTGAAGTCTCGAATTATTTGTAGATTATCTCAGTACCTGGATTACAGAAATGCTTTGCCCGTATAATATAATATAATGTTCTCTTACACACATTGTTCTCACACTGAAAGCCAGTTGCTCCCAGAATTTATCGCCATGTTACTTTACCACTCAGTAACACAAGGTTCCTAAACTGTAACACAATGCTCTTTCACTGTAATACAATATTCTACAACATAACAATGCCCTCATATTGTAGCACAGTGTTCTCACAATGCCCTCAAACTGTAGCACAATGTTCTCACAATGCTCTTATACTGTAGCACAATGTTCTCACAATGCTTTCATACTGTAGCACAGTGTTCTCACAATGCTCTCATACTGTAGCACAATGTTATCACGATTCTCTCATATTGTAGCACAGTGTTATCACAATGCTCTTATACTGTAGCACAATGTTCTCACAATGCTCTCATATTGTAGCACAGTGTTATCACAATGCTCTCATACTGTAGCACAATGTTATCACACTACCCTCATACTGTAGCACAGTGTTATCACAATGCTCTCATACTGTAGCACAATGTTCTCACAATGCCCTCATATTGTAGCACAGTGTTATCACAATGCTCTCATACTGTAGCACAATGTTATCACACTACCCTCATACTGTAGCACAATGTTATCACAATGCTCTCATACTGTAGCACAATGTTCTCACAATGCTCTCATATTGTAGCACAGTGTTATCACAATGCTCTCATACTGTAGCACAATGTTATCACACTACCCTCATATTGTAGCACAGTGTTATCACAATGCTCTTATACTGTAGCACAATGTTATCACAATGCTCTCATACTGTAGCACAGTGTTCTCACAATGCTCTCATACTGTAGCACAATGTTATCACGATTCTCTCATATTGTAGCACAGTGTTATCACAATGCTCTCATACTGTAGCACAATGTTCTCACAATGCCCTCATTTTGTAGCACAGTGTTATCACAATGCTCTCATACTGTAGCACAATGTTATCACACTACCCTCATACTGTAGCACAATGTTATCACACTACCCTCATACTGTAGCACAATGTTATCACAATGCTCTCATACTGTAGCACAATGTTCTCACAATGCTCTCATACTGTAGCACAATATTCTCACAATGTTCACACATTGTAACACTGCCCTCGGAACAGCGTTCGAAATAATCGCCGGCCCGGAGGCCCAACGCCGGTTGTTGTTGTATCGGGCCAGCAGTTTCAAATATTTGCAGGCCCTTGTGGCCTTCAGTAAATTATCTGTCAATGTTTTGTTGATTTCAACTGGAATATTTCCCATATTGTTTTTCATTATTAACGTTCGGGAATCATGCATGATCCATCATGTTACAATATTTCCACTTTCACTTCCTGGTATTTCAGCGATTTGTCAACACCAGTCTTTAACAAATAAAATTTTCTCTCAGCGCCATAGGCTTCTCTAACTGAAACAGTGTGAAACTGTGTACAGTGTAGTCTATTTTGTTTTTATTGGTTTGATTTTAACAAAATGGGCCTGCAGATTTCACTCAGGGCCTGTAGATTTTAAGGCCTTCAGGCGGCGGCAGGCCCTGATGGCCAACGGGCAAATTAAAGTATTGCAAACACTGTCTCGGAATGCAACCCTGTGCTCTCACACTGAAACTAAATGCTCTCACACACATTCCGTATATTCACCACCAAACTTCTAAAAACGTCTCGATCACACATTCCTAAAATGACACATGAACTCTTTCACGTGCGCGTTGCCACATACAGGTAAGACACTTACCCAAACATCCCAAGTTGATCCTTT